AAACAAGAGTTCTGGAAAATCCCAGCTTACTTGTCATTTAAACAGGAAGAATCTCTTGCCCTTGTATAAACTGAGGTCTCTGAATGAAAACTAAATAAGCCTTTTTGTTGTTTTGTTTCTATTTTACAAGACTTAGAGTTTTTGGATGGCCATTTAGCTGGTAGTGATATCTGTCACGAACAGACTGACTCATTGGGGATTTAACATAAGCCAGGTTCATTTTATAGCAATACTCAGCATTGGTACTTCTGATAAGCTTCCATGACAATGGAACAATTACAAGACTTGAAAATAAATAATGCTTTAGTCAATTAAACCTTATTTTAAAAAGGATTCATAGCAATTCAATGATTGAAAGTAATTTGGCTTTTTCTCTCCTTCAGTAATTATTCTGACGTAGTCCTTGTAGTTGAGCCAAAATGTTTCATAGGTCAAGGAGACTAGATGAGATTTCTTGGGTCATCAGATCCAGCTCCTTTTCAAGTTAACCATTTAAGAGAACAAGCAGTCATGGTGGAAAAGATATCAGGATATCTGATTTCACAATAGATGAAGGGGAAGGTGGGAAAGAAACAACCAGTTATCAAAAATAATTTGAGGAGTCTTTATAACCTTTTATATCATTGTCCACATAAGTAACAGCTAAAGAAGGGCTGTAATTAGATCAGGATATTTTTCAAATGATCCAGGCTTTGCATGGAAAGCTGCGTAGTGGGACATTTTTACTACCAATATAACTTGACACTTTGCCCTCACAGCTGAGGATTTATATATCTTTTCTTGATTGTGTGCTTTTTCCAGCAGATGCAGACATGAGTATTTAACTTTGAGGGTTTCTAATTTTATTACCAGGGAAACAGTTAAATTCTGGTAAGATATTAACCTCTACCAAGATGTTTCCAGATACTCAGGAAACATCACATTGTACTTATTGCTCTATTCATAAATGGAAAGACCAAACTCTGTGTATTTTCAACATCTGAAGCCTGTTCTGTTACTGCATTCTCTATTTTCTATTAGAGCATGAAAGATGCTCCAGGCACTAAAGGGCTGGTATCTCTTACCAAAAACTATGCATTACACTTTCAAGAGTAAAGGGCTACAAAGGAAAATGGTAAGTCAACATATCAAAAATACCATGACAATCTTGCAATACTTTGATCTTAATATTCCCTTTAATGTAACCTCATTTTCTTTTACAGATTATAGAACAGACACCAAAACCTGCTACTTGGATCTAGAGAGCCAGAATCAAGTCTTAGATTCTGTTTCTGGTTTTGTCCGTGATTTACTGTTTTAAGATAGACAAATCACTTGGTTTATAGATCTGCCTGAAAACATATAGATATATATATTCCATTTCAAAATATTTGAGAGTCTTGCTTTACATTAATCTCAAACCATTGTACTAAGGAGTCGATAAAATTGTTGTGTTAGGGGGGCGGGGAGGAGATGATAATGGCTCAGCAAGGAAACGTAACTTTTGTGTAACACTGGCAAACAGATATTTCTGTTAGTGATAAAGGTAAAGTTTTGGTGAACACATTTGAGTCCTCCTGAGGAGTTTCAAGCTGTTCCCCTTCCACTGCTTGTAGCCATTATTCATTGTATGCGATTTGTGATCTAAACCAACTGACTTCTCTGTTTTTAATGCTGTCCAAACAGGTGCCTGACACATCCTAAGAAGGAAAATAACAAATAGTGAACAACAGATATGAATGTGAGAACATGACTGCCTTCGTTCAAATTCCAATTCAGGTATTCATATGGCACTCGGATATTCTCCAAAAATAGTGCATGAAGTGAGCGTTCATGCGTGGCAAGCAAGGTACTTCATTAGGGTTGAATGCAACAAATTTCTGAGGACTGACATCAAAGTAGTTAACATTGTTTATTATTTTTTATCTGTCTTCAGGTGCTTGGAGAGTCTTGTCTGAGAAGGTATAAATATACACAAAGTGCAACATTGTTTTTCCTGGATCTCTAAATATTGTCTTCAGGTAAAAAAGGCAATCACATATCTACAGAAGCACTCAGCAAGGCGCTTTCTGGGTATTCGACATTCCTTTTTAATTTACCTCTATCACAAAATACACATGCTTAATCACTCCCTGCATGATCTGTAAATCGAAGAATTACAGTAACTTCCTGCCTTTGGGGCAGGGAGTAGATAGAATTTCATAAGCATACACTGTAAAACTCATTCCCGGAATACAGATCCATGAAAGCACGCTTCTCTATCCATTTTCTTCAGTTTTAACTGCACTTTAATCAATAACAGGGATCTTGCAGGTAGAGCTCCAAGCCACAGTCAAGAAGCACTGCCTGCAAAAACACCCAGATTCTGATTTTAAGCTCCTGTCCTTTCCATGTCATTTTCATGTATTTATTTTGGTAACAGGAAAATAAAAAAGTTAATAATCCACTGGTATTATCAGAATTAATGCTCTAAAACTGGGCATATCTAGAAGATAGAGCACCATGCAGAAAAGCCAAGCTAGAACCAAATCAGAACCTGAAGCATTTTTTTCTTCACAACCCACCTAACATGGCAGTATCATTTCTGGTTTCATCCTGAGCTCATTCTAAGTCTGTCTGAGCATCATTTCTCCTGTGATGTATAAGTCTAAGCACGAACGGTGCAGCTAAGCATTTATTAGGATTTACAAACCCAGCCCCTGATTAGACATCCAGCTTCCATGACCCTTCCTCAATTTCTCAGCCAACTCTGTAAACCCAGCTGTACATCACCTACAAAGGCGTTTCTCATTCAATTGCATGTGATCCTAAGTCAATCTGATAGAAAATGTTTTGACAGAGCAGTTTTGCATCCACGTCCTCTAACCTGCCAGAAAGAGTAAAATTTCTGTCGCAACAGATCAGTAAAGTCAAAATGCATCATTCACGTGTTAACTTCCTGTAATACAGATTATAACATACTGGTTAGAACTTGTTAAGAAGGAAATATTTGTAACATTTCTTTTTGCCGTTCACTTACGTACATATTTTATGAGGTTTCTACTTTTCCATTTTAAGAAGAACATAAAGCTTGTTAGAAGAGAGCGGAAGGAAGCCAGCTCTCTGGTCTCTGGCAGGAACAAGTGGGACATACTTGAGAGGCCACAAAACACGGCAGAAGTACAGGGCACCTTTCTCAGGGACATCCCCTCCACCTCCTGCAACTGGTGGTTGCACATTTCCAGACTTCCAAACTGTGAGTTGGAGAATCAACACTTTATACACCTTAGTCCTTTATCACTTAAACACTTTTGGAAATCTCACCTCTTATGACTGAAGTTTTGAAAAAAGCTCAAGAATAAAAATACAATGATCTCAGGGCCTTCAATTAGTCCCTAAATAATTTAAAATTTTCTATTAAAATCGATAAACTTTCTTGAACTGACACCTTTATGTAGAACTGGGGAAAGTGGCCAGTAATACTAATATTTTTTGTAAGATGCCTCCTATAAGCAGTTTATTTTACATAGTTACACGATTTCACATAGATAATTCAACAGCACTGAAGCAGGCAAATAAAGTCATCTATTTTGCTGTTATAAATTGATCGTGCAGTAGATGTTGATAAATCGTCCCTTTTACTACAGCATGGAATTACTGAACACTGAAAATGTTCAAGATACTAAATAACACACCCAAGTATATTTTCGATGTTAATGCTGATGTGAATTTTATACTGACTTTGACCCCAGAATAATTTTTTTTCATCTTCCTACAAGCTGTCTGTGCAGAGTGATTTATTATTAAAGCAAACCATTTAAATATGCTTATGACAACACATGATTTCTTTTCTGCAACTGACCAAAAATATCACCAGAATTTAAGATACAAATTTCACGTAGCTAACAGTTCACAGCTAATCAAACACAACTTAAGAAATTAAGTGCCATTTTAAAAATAGAAGAATTATTGCTGAATATTTGTATTTTTCTATACTGGTGATAACTATGAAACTCATTTTAGTTTAAGATGCTGCAAAGGGATTCCTGTGATCATGAGCTTGCATTCATGAATGCCATTATTTCCATTGGTAAATAAAATTTGCAAAGAGGTCAATTACCTCAAATTAAAAAAAATGCTACAGGAGAAGAAAGATGAGGAAGGAGGGGAAACCCCTTCCACTGTGAGGTGGCTGATCAATACTGCTCTAAAAGCAATCATGAACATCAGGTATGTTTTTTAAAACATCAAAGCAACTAAGAAGGAAAAAAAAATGAAAAGAGTTGGGGTTGAAAGTCATCCTACTGCTGCTGAAAATCTTATCAATGTTCTTCTGAGGGCATTACAAAGGTAAATGGCATAAGGGAAAGGTTTTCAAAGACACTGAAGGACAGATAAATGCCCAACTCCCATTAAAAGTTTTTTGACTGTTTCAAATAAATCCAGTAGAAACAAATATAAAGCCTTAATTTATGGTGAAATGGGAAACAAATTGTTTTCTTCATAGCATTATGAATTGCAGTGCTAAACCAGGAAGGAGAACAATTTAGATAGCCCTATCACTCGGAGAGCAGAAGAAAAATCAGGGTTCTTTGCATTGAACAAGTGAGTGATGGTAATGAGAAAGGTATCAAAATGACAGTACAGAGACATTCATTGAGATAAACCTACCCATAAGGAAGGCACCCACAACATCATCATGATGATTTTTCAGCAAGTTCATGACATACAACTATTTGACATCCTTCATGGAGAAATTCCCTGGAGCAACACTGAGCACTTAGCAGCACTGAGTACTTAGCACAGAAAATACATGGAACAATGATTTTAAGTACGTTCTTAAAAGACGAGACGGTACTGTTTGATTTGCTAGACAGTGGACAATTGTGCCTGTGCAGATTCTACTAAAGATGAACTTCAAATATTAATATCATTTCTATCTAACTTTTCTGCTTGACAGCAAAGTCTCTGGACTATATAAGGGCACAACCAACAATATAAGGCATGTCTAACAACTTTTCATTCAGGTTTAAAATATTGGTTTACTTCAGTTTATCTAAATGGCAACAACAAGATTTAAAATAAATGTTCTTAATCCCTTCGCCATTCCCACCAAAGATTGCATTACTGGAAGTGTGAAGAGTTGTATACATGTTCAAGAAACATGAAACCCTTTTGAGCCCTCTAGAATACAGGAAAAAAAAAAAAAAATCATTGTAGAAAGGGTCAACATCCTCCAACGGCTCCCCAATGAGCTCTGGAGGAACAGTCCCATAGATATCGGGCAGCTTCTTGCAAGCTTGCAAATCAAACTGGGGCTGAGGTTTCTCTTCTTCCCCCAGCTGCTCTCTGTATTCCTGCTTGGCATTCCTTGCAAGCTTCTCCGCAATTCGTTTCTCAATAGCAGCCAAGGATTCAGGCGTGAACCGGTGGAAGCTGTTAGTACCCGGTGGTAACAAGAAGTCAGCCATCTTTTCATCCTGCTTTGTCTTTACTGGTCTTTACTCCTAGTAGTGGAAACAGAAAACAGAAAAAAAAAAAAAAAAGAACAAAAAAAAAAGAGTCAAGAAAAATATGGATAAAAATTTGCAATGTCTTATTTTTTCACAACTTTTGAAGTTCAGAGATGCAGTAAAACCTATCTCAGCTAACTGATACTTCTAAGGTGATTTAATATCCTCAGATGAAAGTAGCCGTATAAAAGGTAAGTGACAATAGATTGGTATTTGTTATTTCCAGGCATACACACAACTTGTTCTCATTTATGTGGCAACAAACCAAAGAAATCTCAGCACGGTTTATAGGTGGGGAAGAAAGGAATCGTTTCCAAACTGCCATATATACGGAGAAAAATGTGTAAAACGAAAAGAATTGCAGCAGTAAAGATAGTGAAAGAGTAGGAGTGTTTGAACAGCGGTGAGTAACTCTTCATAGGAAAATACTGCTTTGCATTTTCTCTGTGCATCAGAGGTGGCTCAAATCTCCTCAGTAAGACAGACAAAAACTCAGGTTAGATGCTCTGACAGTGAAGGGCTGGTCCGTCCAGCCACAGGAGGTGAGTGGAAATAAAAAAAGATGGGGAGGCACAGTAGCTGGAGCCAGGTCTGAAGACCCCAGCTCACTGTCCCTGTTCTCCTGCTGTGGGTACCAGTGCAAGAGGCTGCCACCTTCACAGAAGTACCCATCACCCCCAACAGTCCACTGGGACCTCAGCAGCTGGCACCCGTGCTGCCAGCCTGTTCGGCTCAGACACAGCTCCTGGCAGCTTGCCCTGGGTGGCTGACCATTTAGTTTGTGCTTAAAGCCTGCCTCGCTGCACCTTGTTGCCCTTAAGTAACTTTCAACGGGCTTAAAACCGTCCAGCACTGTCCTACTGTCACTGAGGTCAATGTTAACATTTCTCTGCCTTAACGGTGCAGGATTACGTGGTGGAGAATAAGGAAGGACATATTTACTCCCCTGACACTGAGTGGATGTTTTATCATTCAGCTGAGGTTTGGCAAATCTTTTATCACCATGTATTCAAATGAAATCACAGGCAGCGCGTTCGCTGGAGCTGAGCCACATGGGCGGCAGAAATACCAAGAAGGCGGTGGGATCACTAGTGACCTGACAGTGCTGCTGTCAGAGCTGAATGGGCACTATAAAACCATAGAGCAAACGAGCCCACAGCTATTGCTGTGCAGAATGTTTACTACCCCTTTTTCTGCCATGTCATCCTAAGGATTTCAACTCGACTATGCATGTAGATAGTATTGCTTTTTTTATATGGCCATCTGCAATGCTGAACCTTTAGCCTAGATGAGCAGACAACTCATTAATCTTATTTTCCACTGAAGAAAATGAGATCATAAACAAGAATAGGGGCAGGTATCTGGAGTGCTTTTGAGGATTTATCACAAACCTCCCTGTGTTGAGAAATTATTTATATTTGAAATTCTTCAGTGTATAGTGTGCTATCAAAGGACTTTTTCCAGGTGTTTTGGCAGACACAAATATGGAAGACTTCTTCCTCCTCAGTCTCTTCATTTTCCCTCAATAACTTAGAACTCTACTGGTTGATTTTAACTAAATTAAAGATAGTTATTTCAGAGAATTTAGCTCAAGTTTCATGAATATCAGTGACCAGGTACAGAACAGCTGCCACAGAAGAAAAAGGTCAGAGCATACCCTGCATCATTAGATGTTAGAGAATCCAATCAAAAGATGTACATGACAAGCAAAACATTGGATTTCAAAAGTTTCATTGCTCAAAGAACCAAATCTTCCAGACTCAGTATTTATCTGTTACTTGTACCATGAAACAGCAACTAAACAATTAATCATTATCAGCAGCAACTTCACACTAATAATTCACAATTTATCAGCAGCCATTAACTTCTGTCTCTGTGGACTCTGGTAGCTGAACTATTCTACAAAAGAAAAATGCTCCACATCACATACTTCAAGTTGATAATTATCAAGCAAGGAGCTCAGTGGTCAGCCCTAGTAAGGAATGGTTGGGACCAATTATCCGTTGTAAACTAGTCATAGTGGTAAACTGAAGAGAGTTTAAGTTCCTCTTCATCCTGTCAGAAGTATGGAAAGTATCTTCAGATCTGTTCTATGAGAGTTTAAACCAGATGACACGTATCAATTTACGACTGAAAAATATAGAACTGAGTACTTGATGCAGTCAACAAATTGTTTTAGTTTTTCACACTGCTTCTCTAGTTTTATGAGAGAAAGAAAGTCCTCCAAGAGTGTGCTTAATCTTCAAAGGTCTTTTTCTGGAGAAATAGCTTTGGTTCTTCTTGCGTCCCAAGAGCACATGGGAACCCTGGACTCAGATTCTTACCACTGGACCCATAACAAAGAAAGAAAAAGTGCTTCTTTCATGTCTTCTGCGTGCACATCCTCCTTTAGATGTTCTTTAGTTCACAGTGAAATCTGTCTTTGAATGTTCACTCCAACTGACATGACAAAGAGCCTTTGCTTCAAGAACTGCATGTACAGAGATTAGTGTTATAGTATGATCTCTTACTGCGGAACATTTCTTAACTAGCTGCATCAGTCTTTAGAATTATAGTGTGACCTCTTCAGAAAATTGCCTAACTAGGTGCATCTGTCTTTAGTGCAAAGCCATGCACAGATTTTCAGTGGTTAGTCTCTTATGAAAGAGATCATCCTTACTACTTTGAAGCCAGAGAGGTTTTCTCATCGCCTTCATTGGAATAAGGACTGAACCATCACTAAACATCAAGTATTTAAGAGCTATTGACTGCAGTGCAAACCAAGGACGATACAGCATATTCACTACATCTTAAATGATTTTAATCTGAAATTACATTAATCACCTAATTATTGGATTCTGCAGAATTCCTAAGTGCAATTGCTGCACTTGAGAAACTTTATAGGAAATAGATATTTCCTTTAAGTGGGAATTAGGATTCACAGGCCTGAGAGCCCAGATATACTGTTTTGGCTTCTATTTCCATCAAATTTTAACCCTCGCCCTTGTTTCATATTCTGTTCCTTTCTTGGGTGGAAGCAATGTCTCCTTACAATTTTTTATTCCCTTCTGTAAGAGGAAGATTGAGCTAAAACACAGGAGGTTCATCAGCAATCCTCTAACCCCTCTCTGCTGTAAACCCTAAAATATCAGACTCCGTGAATTGATTTTCTTTCATTCTCTGCTGCAGGCATAACTGTTAATGAAGTTGCCAGGTCTGTTGAGATTCTAAAGATTTATTTGTTATACTGAACATAATGTCAAGACAGAGAGTTATTGGTTGCTTTACCCTGACAGTTTTATTCATGAAGCAGAATACTGGAACTTACGGAAGCTTAGCTCACTCAATACATCATTCCTGAAACTTACTTAAAAGCTTAATGCAAACTTAGTTTAAAGGAGAACAATTGCCCTTAACATGCAAATATTTTATAAATAAATTGCCATAAAACATCTAAGTGAATTACTCTCTCATATAATCACTCTAAGGAAAGTTGTGGGCTGACTTCCTTGTACTAGCTCTTCATCAATCCAAACTACAGTAGTCAGTATTAGAAATGTCCCTTTAAATGTCCTACCCTGTGCAGTTTGTGTCCCTGCGTCCTCTCTTACTCATATTTGAGTTCAGCTGCATCAAGGCAAATGTGGCACTCAAATTTGGATCTGGACATAAAAATCAGATTTGAGACAACGCACCACTTTCCTACATCTGGCAATAAATAAAACCTCTCCATATTGTTATTTGTACAATAGGAGTACTATGATTCACTTGGCAAGAGAGGAACAACACTGTGCAAAGTGTTGTCTGTCCAGATTTAACAGTAACTCAATGCCAAAAGTCAGACTGGTTCTCTCCTGGCTCTCCAACCTTGATGAGCAGGATTGCTCGTCACACTTTATCCTATAGAAGAAATAATATTTTAGAGTGTTTTTAAAGGATCTATTACTTTTCACCATTCTCTAGTAAAGCAAAAATCTCTAGTCAAACACTGAGGGAAAATAATATGATAAGGAATATATTTAGGACATAGAATGAGAAGACAGTAAATAAAAACATTGTACCAGTCTCTCAGTGTTTCCTCTGCAAGTGCTACTTACTCAACCATTCCTTTGCTTAAAATAAGAGAGGACTTGATCCAACTATAAGACATTCCCTCTGCACATCTAGTCCTACCTGATCATACACCAGAATTGGTTCTGCAAGAGTGTGGTGCTCTTCCAGTTCCCAATAAGTGCATTTTGCTTGATACTCCCCATTACTCTCCTGTTGTAATCTTCACTGAAGCTCAGCTTTATTCTCCCAGTCCCAAACTATCAAATCACATTCATGCTTTCACTGTTTTATGAAAAATGCTTAAAATCCCTGTTCAAATTATTTTGCTTCTCATGCTTTACTTACAAAACAGTTAAAAATTTCTCAAAACAAAAAAATCATTTGAAGATCATATCCTCCCCCCGGCTTCCAAAAAAAGCACCTCCCAATAAGAGCAAAAACCAACAAATGAAGGACAATTTGGGTCCAGCCAACTTGCCTGCTCTTCATTTTCCTTTCCCTGTTCCTATGTTCAGTTACTAAACTGAATGTTGCATCTAACGCTGGCCAGAGGGTTAGATGCAGTGCACATTTATCACATGATTCTACATGTTATCCCAGAGTTTTCACCTACAAACATAGGACACGCATCATTTTCTGTAAAAGCTCTTCACTCAGCAGTCTCTAATGGCTGTATTTGTCACTTCACAGGCAAAGCTGAAGATAAGATAAAAATAGAAAAAAAAAATTTTTTCTTCTAGTAGGTGATGACACAAGTTTCTGGAGGAGGTTCTCCCCTCAACCAAACTCCATGCAATGACAGAGTTGTTCTACACACATAAAACTGGCCTCCAACAATAATGTTGTTGCAAGAATTCACAGAATACCTCATACGTATCTCCTACGAAAGTGACCGCTTTTATTAGACAATATAAGATAAACAGGAGGTCAATAAAAAACAGTAGAGTTTCACAAACCAGGGAGAAAAAAACCA